CTCTGGGCTCACCGAGTACAGTGCCAAGGTGTTCAGGAACGCGTCCAGCGGACAGAGCCGGTCGGCGCAACCCCTGGGCAGCTGCTCCTGAGGAAGGGACAGGACTCAGCCGGCCTCACGACCCGACCCCGCCGTGCCCCAGCGCTGAGAAGCCTGGCCAGTGTGTGTGTCCATGCCACGGCCGAGGCCCATGCCCGGTCAGCTCCCGGATCAGAGCAACAGGCGCCGCTCGTCAAAGCCCACCGGGCTAGGAGCTGGCGCGTCCTCGGGCTCTGACCGCCACCTGCACGCGGCCCAGGCACGGGGACGCTGGCCGCACCGGAGCCTCCGAGGCCTCTCATTAGCCTTCAGAACAGGCCTCTGAGTCAGGACGGGCGTGCTGACGGACACTGGGCCCTGGCGGCCAGGGCCTAGCACAGAAGGGGGCCCAGCCCAGCTGCCCCGCGTCCTGCCCTGACCGCGCGGGGGCGGGCGCCTCCGTACCTCCCCGCTGTAGTAGAGCCGCACGAACCACTCCTGGGTCTCCCTGTGCTGGTACAGCTCCAGGGTCAGGTCCGCGGCAAAGGGGGGCCACTTGTTGTCAAAAATCCCCAAGGCGAGTAAGAGCGGCATGAGCGTCACGTCGTGAGCGGCGTACAGGTACAGCTTTCTGCGAGGGGAAGCGTTTTCCTATAAGCCCTTAGCTCAGGTCCCGGGTTGCGCTGGCCCCTCTCGGGGAGCAGCAGCACTTACTTGCCTCAGGAACGAGGTGACGCCTCGGAAATTCCTTACCCCCGCCCAGGGTTTCATGGGAGCCCCCAACCCCTCCAGCCCTGGCCACTGGCAGCGCCCTGGCCTCCAGGCCCACCCACTCCCCTGTGATTTCAAAGAGGGCGCAGCGCGGAGCCTAGGCCCTCTGCCCCTCCCGGGCGCCGCGGCCGGGCACGGTCCTGCTCGGCGGGGTGTAGCGGGGTGGATGAAGCCAACTCTCCTTGTGGGGGCAACTTGCATTTGGGGGAATTAAGATCACAACAAATAAGCTTGCTTGGCCCTCAACTCGTCCTCCCTATGGCTCTAGTTAGTTACAAAGAGGCCATTTTAATCTGTATCTGCCTGACCCGTCACCTCTCTCGAGAAGGACCGAGGACGTCACACGGACCAGCCCGGCGACCTGAGAAGCAGCTGGCAGTCGCTGCCTGGCGCAGGCCAGCAGGAGTATGCCCAGGACGGTGGCCTGAGGGGCGGGGGCGGGCATGTGTGCTTCACAGCTCCACCCAGAGCCCAGAGCGGTCCTTTCCCACACTGGCTTGAGTTTCCACCTCTGTCTCAAGAAGGCAAAGGGGGGGAGGATCGGTCCCCCAGGAGCTTGTGAAATTGCAGACGCTGCCTCTAACCTGCCTAGCGGAGGTCACACGAGATCACACCTCTGAACGAGGCCGCCGGGCAGCAACTGCCCTTGTCCGGGCTGTGACGGCATCATACCAGGATGATGAGTTTCCCACCCTGACCCGTGCTCAGTTAGTTAAGAAAGAGGAAATAAATCTAGGGTTCTTTTTGCTAAAACAAAATTCCAGAACAAGGCAGACGGGGCATCGAGGGAGCTGAAGTGTCAGAGGCCCGAGCGCCCCCACCCCCATGCTGCAAAGTGGGGCTGCTGCCCAGCTACCTGGCCGAGCCGGGCGGGGCGGCGGGGTCCACGGACCTGAGCAGGTTGCCCTCCAGCAGGTGCAGGAACAGGCCCACCGACATCTGCAGGCTCTCCCTGCGGCGAGGAGAGGTACAGTGCAAGCCCGGTGATTAGCAGGGGAGCAGTGGGCGCGGGCGTGGGGAACACAGGGCGCAGCTGCTGCTGCTCCCCAGGACCCAGGGCAGAGCCGAGAAAAGACAAGCGAAGCCCACGGGAGGGCGCGGGTGCGGGGAGAGGCCCTGGGTCCTGCCTGCAGCGGGAGGCGCCGAAGACTCCGGCCACCCGCCGGCCAGACCCGCAGCGGAAGCCCCAGCGGGGGTGGGAGGGGCCGGGAGGGGGCTGTGGTCAGCTGTGGGGTTGAGAAGGAGGGTCCAGGAGTAAAGGGCAGAGTTGGGGGACAGGGTGGAACGACTCCCAGGGATTCCAGGCCACACCTGCTGCCCGGCTGCCCCCGGCACACGGGAAGTTCACGTAGGACATTGCTCCTGTGGCTCGCACTCATCTACAGGAGCAATGTCCTACGTGAACTTCCCGTGTGGGCCTTAGTTCCAGAGGACGTTTCTTCTAGAGCCTGGCAAGCCCAGGCAGCGCCCCAGGCTGGCGCCCCCAGGCAGCCACCACAGGTGACCCTCGCCGCGGGCAGCAGAGCAGGCACCTGGGGGCTGGCCTTCTCGCCTCTGGTATCTCCCAGAACGCGGGCACTCGCAAAGGGAGCGGGTGGCCACGACGGCTCAGACCCTCGGCCCCCTGGCTGGGCCGCGCAACTGGCCACCTGCACAGAGCCAAGCATGAGGGCAGCAGAGACGCCAAAAGGCTGCGTGCAGGCCGAGCCAGGCCGGACAGCGCTGAGGCGGCGCCCACTGTCCCGGAGGGGAGGGCGGTTTACGAGACCAGGGCTCACTGGAACGGGACGGAGAACGGACCGGGTCTCGTAGAAACGCTTCACCCGGGAAAGCAAAGGCCACACGGACTGTGCGACCCGTGCACCCGCCTGTTTCGTGAACGCCCGCGCCCGGCACACAGAGGCTCGGGCGACAGCCGCGAATACCCGGGCAGTCCCCGGGCGCGGTCATAGGCAGGCGGCAGGGCCGGAAGCCTCCAGATGCCCAGGCCAGAGCCCCGTGGGCGCCCTGACTCCGAACGAGAAACAGCCAGAGCCGCTCAAGCTACCAGACCTGGCCTCCGCTGGGCCTCGTCCTAGCCACTTGCCCAGGGCGCCTCTGCGGAGCCTGTCTGAGCCCCGGGAGCTGTAATCTGGGAGGGGACCCCCCACGTGGTCAGGAGACAGAGCCCCAGGCCGCTGAGCCAGGGGAGACCTGGGTCAGCCCCGGGGCTGCGACCCCCCTTCCCGGCCTGGGCCAGGCGCGGGTCTCAGGCCCTGGCTCTCCACACAGCAAGCCAGATCTGGCCGCACCAGGGATCACGGCACCGCCCCGCAGACACGGCACGTGACTCGTTAGCTGCAGCAAGAGGGGCCAGCTCAGCGCCCCCAAGCCCCCGGAACTCCAGCAAAAGGAAAGAGTGACTGAGAGGCAGCCAGGGAGCAGAGCCCCCGGGAAGCAGGGGTCACCAGCCCGGGAGCGCGGGAGCCGGGTCTGAGCCGCCGCCAGGCCAGCAGGATGGGCGGTCAGCAGGCCAGAGGCCCCGTGCCCACGCCGAGGCGGCCCTCACCCGTCTTCCCCTTGCAGGAGGTACAAGGCCGTGTCCACCGCTCTCTGCTCGATCATCCCGGCAAACCGTCTCAGCGTGGGGCAGCCCGGGAGGCCGTGTGCCTGCAGGGACCCGGGGTGAGCGCCATGTCCCCGGCGGCCGGGGCAGGCAGAGGGGCAGCTTCCGGAGCCTTTCCTGCCTGTCTTCCTGGTGGGGTGGACACAAGCCCTCAACCACCTACATCCCCACGTCTGCCTGAAGCTATCCCTAGAGATCGGGGGCCAGGAGACCCCCGCCTATGCGAAAACAAAACGCATCTTGTGTTTTTCTGAACTCAGCAGTGTAATCGTCCGCCGGCCTGTCCTGCTCCCCACTCTGTCTCTGTGAAGCCTCTCACCATCCCTGCACCTCTGGCCTGTACCCCAGTTCTGTCTGCATAAATAAATCTTTAGGAAAAAAAAAAAAAAGGTGAGTAAAATACCAGGCCAGGAGTTCATGAGCTTCTGTCTGGTCTTCATTTACCCCAAATGATGCACAGAAAGGGGCCGCAGAAGCGCGTTCCAGAGACTCTGGTCTGATAACCGCACCCCGACTCGCACGCTCACGGGCCCTCGCGGCCCTCGGGCGCAGGCAGTGGTTTACGGACGTGGGTGCCTGACTTTCCAATCTAGAATTTCCATCGTGCGGTCTCCAGTGTGTATTAGGTTAAAAAAGATTTTATGCTAAATGAATTCGGGAATAAAGCAGACCTAGCGATTAGCCAGCTTTCCTCTCTAGAGGTCTCCCTGGCCCCGTAACTCACTGCTGTGCAGAGGGACGCCCCGAAGCCGACACGCCACAACCCCTCCCGTCACCTACCCACTGGGGCGTCCTGGGGGTGTGCTAAGGGCCCGGGGGCCCCGGTGTGCCCACCGCTTCCACATGGACCCTCTGCAGGCCCACGCTGCCTGCAGGCAGGTCTCATCCACAGCTCTCCGCCCTCCAACTCAACGGCCTGCCCCGGCCCGAGAAGGACAGTCCCCGCACCTGCTCGGCAGCCATGTTGTCAAAGAGGTTGAAGAAATCGACTCTGTCGCTGTCGGCAATGCCCAGTCCTTCTTTCACCTTTTTCAAATCTTCTGAGATTCCTGGCTGCGAAGAGGCAGCCTCTTTCCGGCCTCTGACAAAGAAGAAAAAGCTACCTGGCGTACCTTGCGCATCACCCGGAATCGCGTTTAATCCCGGTGACTCACTAGCCCTGCGGGCTGATGCCCATCTTACAGGTGAGTACCTAAGGCCCTAGGAGGTCAGTGACTGGTGACAGCACATTAGGGCGTGCCAGGCCTGGCAGAAAAGCTTTTCCTCTGTTACATTAGAAGCCAGGCCGTGGCCCATGTGGCCGGGAACGTCCTCTCCTGCCCGTGAAGCCCTCGCCGCCCAGTCACGCACCCCGGGGCGCCCGAGGACGTGAGCACCGTCAGCCCACCGGCCCCCCACAGGGCAGCGTGGAGGACAAGGGAGTCTGTCTCCCGCTTGCTCCTCTGGATCTGCGCGTTGACGCCCACTCAACCTGTCCGCACCTCCACCTGCCTGCGCTGAGGGCCCAGGACTAAGAGGCGAAGGCCAAGGGCAAAGCCGGCAGCCGCTCTCCAGCCCGAGCCTGAGCTGCCACTGTGAGCGGGGCCCCCTCGCTGCCTGGCAGCAGCTGCGTGCCCCGAGCTCACGCCCCACGCGCCGGCAGTGACCTGGGCCGGCCCCAAGTCAGGCTAAGCCAGCACAGGTGCATGAAGGCGCTGCCCCATGGGCCGGGCTCCGAGCAGTTACCTGGTTATTTCCCGTAGACTCCTGCAGTTTTGGTAATTGGGGTACAACACCTCAGAGCTCGCCTCATCGGTGTGGATGATGACAGGCCCTGGAGGGGAGGCAGGAAACGGGGCGGCTCAGGCTTCCCAAGGCCTGCCGCTCCCGTGCGCACAGGGCCCCCAGGGCAGGTCCGCAGGCTGCTCCTCAGGCCAGCGCCCATCAGCATCGTGTCCAGCACAGCCCGCGGGCCACACCTGGACGGGAGCAGGAAGCGCCAGGCGCTTCCCTGGCCCAGGAGGGAGCACCCCCACCAAGCGGGAGCACCCCCACCAGGGCGCGGCCAGCGCCGGGCATCACCCTAACAAAGACCAGCGGACGAGCTTCCCGGAGTCCAGTCCTATCGGCCAATATGGTGCTTCCAGGGCAATCTGGGAAAGCGGCCCAAGGCCTCTCAGGTTGGACTGCCCCTCCCCACGCCTGCCTGAGCTTTGCTCCGGCCAGAGACGGCGAGGGCGGCGGCAGCCACCCCACAGGGCTCCCGCCTGCCCTGCTGAGGCAGAGACATAGCCTCGGCCAGCGGCAGCTGCGATGGGGTCATCGCTGGGCTGGTTCGTGGGCTCCGTCAGAGGGCGGCTGTTCCCTAGCAGCTGACGGCAGAGCCTGGAACCCAGACAGTCGCCCACAGCAACGTCGCTGGAATCGGAGAACCCAGACCCACTTCCTCGGTCTGTCGGGAGATGAGCCTGGAAGGCCTGGGGCGCCCCTGAGGGGACACGCCTTCCTGGGGTTCAGGCCGCCCGCGCACGGAGGGGCTGGCTCACAGCGGCACTTTCGGGCAGTGTAAGCCCCCTGCCCGCATCAGATAGGTAACGCAAGGTGGCAGAGACTCCGGGGGCCCAGCGCACTCACTCGCGTGCCCCGCCCCTCCCTCCTTCTCGGCAGTCCCGGGGTCCCCCTGAAGAGCTGGGATTGCGCGAGGACTCCATGCGAAGAGCAGGCGGGCGGGCAGAGCCCCTCACACCCCCCAGACAGGCCGTCCCGTCCCAGGAGCAGCTGGGCAGGCAGGGGAGAGCTGTGAGGCCAGAGAGTCGGACCCAGCCCGCCCCTTGCAGCGTGTCGGGGGCCCCCGGAGGCCCGGCTCTCCCATCGGGGACCTGGGGAAACAGCGCCAGCACAGGGCTCAACACGGCCTCGCTGCCGGCCTCTGACGCGGCCCAAGGTGACTCCACTGCTGTCTGAGCCTGGGCCTGCGCTTGGGGCAGCCAAGGCCCGTTTCGGTGGGCGCAAATTTACGTGGGCTGAAAGAGACCGGGGAGCGCCAGGCCAGCGCTCCCCGCAGCGGAGTCTCTGCGGCTTTCCCAGGGCCCCCAGGCTTCTCGAGGGCTCCCCTCCGAAGCAGCCCAGACGCCTCCTCTTCACCAGCGCAGCCCCTCTGGCGCTCCCTGCCAGCCCACTGGCCAAGGCCTCAGGGACAGACGTCCCGCCGGAGGCCCAGGACCGTGGCACCCCGAGCCGGGCAGCCCTGCCCGCGGCTGGCGTTGGCCCCGGCCTCCCTGCTGGGGACCTGGGCCACTGCTGCCTGAGGCGTCCCTGCAGGCCAGGCTGCTGCGGTAAACACCTTTGGGCCGGCCACGACCTGGCGATCCTGAGGACAGCGGCTCTCAGCAGCTGGAGGAGGACGGGCTTTCCGGGTCAGGCGCCCCGGGTTACCCCTGAGCCCCCGCTCCCGGGGAGTGAGGGGCGGCCTGGCCCGTTGCTTCATGGAATTTCGCCTCCCTGTTTACAGTTAGCAGGAACTTGGGCCAGAATTAGCAGCAGGCCCCACACCAGCTGAGGTGGAGGCCAATCTCCGGCCGGGCAGTTCTGCTCTTTCACGTGATTTCTGACAGATCGGGGCTCCCTTGGACACCGTGAGGGCAGCCGGGAGCCCCCACTTGAGCATGCGGACACTGGAGCTCTGAAACTCGGAGCGGCCGTTGAATGCAATTTGAATGAAGTACTGATGGCAGACGCAGCTCCCTGGGAGGGTCGAGGGCCTCGGCCAGGGCCCACGAGGGAAAATGACGCTAGGTCCTCGGTGACGGAGGCCGGGCCTCGGGGAGCAGCCACCGGCCGGTGCGTGCACGTCCAGTCGACCGACCTCAGCCAGGAAGCTGAGCAGAAAACCCCAGTGCCTCTGTGATGCCGGGACACCCCGAGGCCAGGGCAGCAGCGGCTGGCGGGGTGTGCCCGCCTCCTTTCTTTCAGCAGTGTTGCCCGAAGCCAAAAGCCCCCAAGGTGGGGGGGCACACAGTGGCCAGGGCCCCACTGGCCGGAGGAGGGCAAGCGGCGGGCAGGAGGCCAGGAGGGCCGTTCCCGCTCACGCCCGGAGGCCAGGGGAGCGGGCTGGGGAGGCAGGGAGAGGCAGCAGGGACGGGGAGGCCTGGGGGGTGGGGGCGAGGCACAAAGCTCCCTAGCGGGGGGCTGACTTTCACACCCCAAGTCTAACCTTTTGGATGTTGGAAAAGGCCAGCCAGCAAACACCGGGTAGACTCCAGGTTCCGATATATGTTAGTGGAACGGACGCTGGAGGGAGAGAGGGGGCGAGACAGCGACACCGTGAGAGGAAACGGTGGTTGTTTGTCCCCGTTTCACCCCGCAGAGCAGCTGAGAGGGTGTCACGCCTGTGCGAGGCGCCGGCCGGCCAAGGGCACTGTCCCGGTGAAGGCTGCCTCGGGCACCGGCTGCTCAGAGCACCCGCCCTTCCAAGCGCAACTGCTCCAAACTAGCAGGCAAAGAGGGGAACCATCTGGGGTGCAGGGGCGGGAAAGGTTTCCCGGGGCTCAAGACCGTCAGATGGGCGCAACGGTCACTCCTCAGACACTCACAAGACCTCCAGGGGGTTGTAGGTGGGAGACAGGAAGGAGACGTCCTCCACATAGCTCTTCCTCAGCCTCTGGCCCAGGGCAAACATCTGCTGCATGCCCACCCTGGTCAGCTGTCCAGCGAAGATGCCCCCCTGCGGCGGCGAGAGGCGAGGGGAGAGTGAGGGCCAGGGGGCCAGGCCCTCGCCCAGCCGGGGTGTGGCTCACCTGCAGCACAGTGCTTTGATACTGCGCGTCGTAGGGCGAGTGAGGTCTCGGGCCCCCCGTGAGACTGCTGACCGTGTAGTCAAAGCGGGTGTGGGGGGGGACGTCTAGAAGCCGCGGACTCCACTCCACCTGCTTTGACCACAAAAGCCCGAAACATTATTTGGAAAGTTCGGGACACTGACAGCATTAGTAACTACGGCGCTGACAAACGCGGCCCCTCCTGCCCCCTCCTGCGGGCCCCTCCAGAGGGGCTCTAGACCCGGGCAGCTGGCGGGCCTCAGCGGTCCCTTTGGGGCGACCCTGTTGGCTGGGCATCTACCCACGAGCGGGGGTCCCTGTGGCATGGCATGTGGAAGATCCTTTATTCTTGCCCTTTCTCTCCATCACGCGCTAAGGTGACTAGTTCCTTGCCATTAAGGGTCTGACACCCCTGAGTATGGCTTCTCTCCATGCAGCGGACAGCAGAACTTACTTACAGTGGGCAGGTTTGGGGGTCCTGAGGTGCCCCTCACCCTGTAACAAGGGCACTGGCATGGAGAAGGACAGACTTTAGTGGTGGCCTTGATGTAATATATACACATGCTGATTCTCAATGATGTACCCTAATGGTGTAAAATGACGTTTTTCAATTTAAAAAGGAAACGAGAAAAAGTGGTCACTACTAGGAAAGCAGGGTGGATGAGGAGACTGTTACAACGACGCCCCCTCCAGGGGACCCTCAGTCAGACCAGCCAGGGGCTTACTCTGTCGGATACCCCATTAGCCTTCTGGCCTTGACCTTGGTCCTCTGCACTGGCAGGTGATCCTGACGGAGAATGTCAACAATTACATCAGTTCCTATTTTATAAAGGCCTTTGCTTACTGCTACTAAAATTTAAATTTTAAAATTCAACAAATAAGTCTTCTAATCCCGCAGACCAGCTTTTCATCAAGATGGGCCCCAAACTCCACCCGCCTGCTGCTCCCCATTTCTCTCCCTATACTGCACCAAACGGCATTGCTGTGGAAAACAGTCACTCCCAAAGGTGGTTCTCTTATCTTACTATCAGAGTGCAAAACCTGTTAGCTTAGGCAAAGGCCTGCGACAGGCCCCACCCTCTGGCTCCCACAATCCAGGCGCACACAACTCCCCATTAATCATTAATTGAGCCGAACCACCTCCAGCGCGTCAGTCGCTTTCCCCAAGGTTTCAGGTGAGCACCCTTCCGTCCACTCTGCTGGCCAGTTGACAACTCAGGCCTCTCCCCTCCCCAAGATCAGTCACCTTCCTCCGGCCTCCACTCCTACCTGCCCAAAGCTCTCTCCAAGCTTAATGACAGTGGTTGCTTACCTGAATCCCTGCAGCCCCACAATCAAAGTACAGTTACCTCAACTTCCAGTGGCTTCATTTTGTTTTAAAACTAACACTTGAGAATCCCTGCAGTGTTGATGACACGCCCTGTAGCCAATTTCCTCCAGGGGTCGCTTCCCCACCAACAAGCAATTCCTGCACTCCAGGGGGGCCGGCATCCTAAATTCAGCTCCATTCTGACACGTCTCCCAGAGTCCACGGGTACAGGGTTCAGTTTTCCAGGACCAACGTGCACTAGTCACCAGCCAGGCAAGAGCATGCATCTCAGCAGCCTGCCATAGACCAGAGGTCCCCAAGAACACGCCCGTCCACGCTCACACTTCAGGTGCGGGCCACAAACCCCAGACCTTTAGGTGAGCTCTGGGCAAGGTTCCCGGTGCAGCGGGATTCTCTCCACTTTGCAAAAGTCCCCAGTGTGAGGCATTAAACTCTCCCCACTGCATGGCTTCCCTTTCCAGGACTTAGCACCCTGAATGGTGCCCCATTCCCACCTCATGATCAGCCATTAACTGGCTTGGCAGGCCTCAGAGACTTCTTTATCTGAGGTGGTCATTGCAGAGAAGTCACCCTTCTGGGAAGGCCTGGGGGTGGGGGGTGCCTTGACTCTACCTGGCCCTTGACTCTACCTGGCTTGCCGCACCTCCAGGACCTGGAGCTGGGACTCCCATACTCGCTCCCACTCCCTCGCCCCTTCCCAAGCCCCAGCACCCCAGTCCCTGGGAGCCAGCTGTTGAGGGGTGCCTACCGCCATCTCCAATAGAACTACTTCACGTAAAGACCATTCTTGTGCCCCAGAGCTTTTGCACGAGCAAAAGACCCTGTTTGGCTGGTGACGCCAGGACACCCCAAGGACACCCCATTCAGGTGCAGTTCTTTGCTGGAGAGGCTTAGAGACCCAGGAAGGCCACTGCTCCCTGGCCCGGGCTAAAGGACACAAATCAACGGCTGCAAGAGCTCCCCCGGGCAGCTGGGGTGAAGCTGCGCACACACCCCCAAATCTTCACCTGTGCACCGCCCTCCCCTGTCTGCAGCCTCTTGCTCTGGGCTCTCAGGAGCTGGGAGACTTACTGCACAGGGCTGCGTGGTTAGGTCGGACCTGGGCAACAGAACTCCTCCTGTAGCCCCCACGCCCAGGAAATCAGGCCCAGACTGAAAATGCCACCGTCCTGTCACATGGTTTCCAGCCCACCAGCGGGTTTCCAAAAGTCACCTGCATGAACACAAGGGCCACCTTTAACGCTGCCACCACAAGAAATTCCAAGGGGTGCTACCAGCCAGGAACTGTGACTCAAGACCGAATGTGCGTGAGAAAAAAAGCTGGGTCGCCAGGAGGCGACCTAGGGGTGACCTAGGGGTCACAAGACCTCAGCGCCCCTTTACTGTGCTTATCTGAGTGGTCCCAGAACACCCCCGGAGAGTGCCGCCGAGAGCCCCCCCCTTCCACAGGGGCCCCCTGCTCTCCCACAGGGTTGTCTCCGGCCCACCTGCCGCCCCAACCCCGCCTCTCCCCATGGCGCCTCAATGTCAGCAGGCGGGGTGCTGGGAGCAGAGCTGCCCTGCCTCTTGTAGTCAGGCTCCCCCCGTCCAAGTTCCGGCCTAACAGCTCCCAGCTTAAACCCCCCCAGGGCTCCCAGCAGCCCCAGGCCCCAGCCTCCTCCCCCAACCCTCTGGCCGCTTCCTCTCGACTGCCCCCCACACCCTCAAGCCACACACTTTGTTCCCTGTAGCACCCCCCAAAATGTACAGCCCCCCCCAAATGTACACCACGAAGACCCTGGTACCTACTGGAGGTGGGCCGCGGACTCCGCACCGAGCTTCCTGGCTTTTATGTCAAAGGGGAAACCCGGCCAGCCAGGCCAGCGTAAAAGCCAGCCCCAGTCGGGAGAAGCACACCGTTTCTAATGCTCACAGACAAATGCCTCCCCTGGGGCCTCATAAAGAGGCTGAGGAAGATAATGAACGTCTTCGCAAGCAGTCACAGCGGTGAGTTCTGTGGGGCTGTTTCTCATCATTTCCTCCACACAGAATGATAGCGTCTCACCAAAGTACATTTCTGCGGAGACAACGCTATATATAACCGGGACAGATAGCTGCGTCCACGCAAGAGGGAAAATCTACATAAAAGTAAGCAAAACCGTCCAGGAGTCGGTTGCACAGGGGAGCGGAGGCCCCAGCGCTGGCCTCGCTGGGCAGTGGCCGAATACCTGAGGCCCGCGTGGCGTGACGTCGGCTCTCCTGGGTGGGCCTCCCCGCCAAATGCTCTCCAGCCCCGACACGCTAAAGCTTCACCAGAGAAGTTTTATCACTTTTGGACGCTCTGGGCCAATAAGATAAGAATTGCAGGGCGGGATGCCCAAAAAGCAGCATTTTTCGAAGCTCCGAGGTTGAGAACCACCGGCTGGGCCCTCCCTGGGGGCGCAGCGGGTTACAGCACAGCATTAGGAAGCCAAAGCCACTTGAGCACCAGTTCGATCCCTGCCTGCCCCGGAGGTGACCCACAGGGCGCGGCAGACCTCTCCTGACCCGCCCGCTGCTCCCCTCAGCAGTGGACTTTGTTAGTCAGCCTGTTCTGCTCCCCACTCTGTCTCTGGTGAGTCCTTTCACCACCCCTGAACCTCCGGCTTGTACCCGGGTTCTGTATGCACAAATAAGTAAATCTTTAGAAAAAAAAAAGAACCACTGCCGGGCTCCAGAGGAGGGAACAGGTTCGCTCCCAAGGCCTCCAGGCCCTGCCTCCTCCAACTTCTCTTACCTGCGCTCTGGGTATGATACTGGGGGGCGCCCGAGTGGGAGGGGGTGATTTTGCCCCCATCTAGCAGGGAGCTGAGGGAAGTCCAAAGGCAGCCCCATATTTACCTCTGAAAGTAGCTCCAGGCTGACCTAAGGAGCAGAAAAAGGGCCAAACTAGCTCCAGAGTCTTCTAGAGAACAGCTACAATACTTTCAAGGAAGACAGGTTAAGTCACCAGTCATTGAAACTATAAAAAAGCAACTCAATAACACAGCCTCCCGTTTCAAACAATGTTACTTTCTGATGATTTGTGAGATAACTGAATGAAGGACTTATCACTGAGTTTATCTATACACCAGTCAAAGCCTGGAAATAGCTACCAAAGACAACTTTGTTTTAGACCTATTCCAGGGAGTCCCTTCTGACTACAATTAATAGCATAACCAGGAAAAACAGAAAATTCCAATAGCAACCTCTATCATAGTGGACCTTGAAAAGAAAACCCGAGAGAATATCCAGGCGTCCATGACACCAACAAGCCACCGGGAAGTGCTGCGGTTGGCGCCTGGCTTCTATACATCAGGTTTTATACAGGATAACCAAGGAGGCTTAAATGCGCCTGCCTAAAGTCTGGAGCATGTGGGCAGGTGGGAGAGGTGAGGGGCCTGCTGGATTTGCCAAAGGAAGACCTAGGCGCAAAATCTCCACCTTTTGTGGCTGCACAGACAGGAGATGAACAAAACTGGGCTTTTACAAGAGTGAGAACCGCCCAGCCCCACAGAAAAGCAGGCGTTAACCTGCACCCACTGGCCAGGAGAAAGGTCCTGAGAGAGCCAAAGCCTTTCCCAGGCCCTTTGGGGGCACACCTCCTTACATCCAGGTCCCCGCCTGCTCCCACTAATAGCGCTGGCTTTACCATGAGCCTTTTATTGCTCCGTCACTGTCCAGTCTTTCTGTAACAAGAATAAATGGAGAAGGGGAGAGCACAGAGACAGTCTATGTCCAAAATCTTAAGGAGAATTTAGAGACCTCATGAAAAAGAGGAGATGGGAAAAAA